ACCCTTTTTTGATCAAAATCCATATGYTATAGCCCATCAAAATCACTCAAAATGACCCTGTTTTGATCAAAATGCATGGCCTATAGCCCACCAAAATCGTTCAAAATGACCCATTTTTGATCAAAATGCATGGCCTATAGCCCACCAAAATCGTTCAAACTGACCCATTTTTGATGATAGGTCATTTTGAGGAAATTTGCTGGGCTATAGCTAGTTCATTTTGGTCAAAAATGGGTCATATTGGTCAACGAATGGTCATTTTGAGCGATATTTATGTGTTATAGTCCGTTTCATTCAAAAATTGCTCATTTTGAGCTATTTTGGTGGGCTATAGCCCATGCATTTTGATCAAAAATTGGTCATTTTGAGCGATTTTGTTGGGCTATAGCTAATGCATTTTAATCAAAAATGGGTCATTTTGAGCGATTTCGGTGGGCAATAGTCCATGTGTTTTGATCAAAAATGGGTCATTTTGAACGATTTTGGTGGGCTGTATCCCATGCATTTTGATCGAAAATTGGTGATTTTGAACGATTTTTGTGGGCTATAGCCCATGCATTTTGATCAAAAATTGGTGATTTTGAACGATTTTGGTTAGCTATCAAATGGGGTATAACCCACCAAAATCGCTCAAAATGACCCTTTTTTGATCAAAATTTATGTGCTATAGCCAACCAAAATAATTCAAAATAATGACCGTATGACTGTATGATAGTGTCAGTTTGTTTTGATATTTACAACTTTCCTTTTCAAATTTCAAAAACGCCCACTCAATTCATCCTTTGAGGAGGTGGACTTTTAATTATTAACAACACAATATTAGCTCTATTAAGTAAAGACATTAATTTATGGAAAGAATTTAATTCAGTATGACTCATGTTTTTGATACCAAAAGAAAACGTTTTTTAAGTTTTTACTGTTATAAGTATTTTGATACAAACATTATTACAAAAAAATACAACAATATGAAATTACAATTCTCATCAACTGTAGCTTTCAACAACAAGCTACAAAAATTAAAAAAAACGTCGACAATCATCAAATAAATTATTAACTATCATTATCCCACAAAAATCGCTGAAAGTAACCCTTTCTTGATCAAAATGCATGGTCTATATCCCACCAAAGTCGCTCAAAATGACACATTATAGATCAAAATGCATTAGACAACGAAAACCATGAATAATGACGCATTGTCATTTTCAAAATGCATGTGATTTAGTCCTCGAAAATCATGAAAAATTAGCCGTTTTGGATGAAAAGAAATCGATCATATCTGAGGCTTAAATTGAACGATATATGAAATTAAGATCTGCATGATTTATGATGGTTTCAATTTGTTTAGATCTTTCGAAATTGCCTTTACAAATTTGAAAAATGCCCTCGAATTCATCCTTTGAGCAGGTGGACTTGCATGCAATCATTCGCAACATAATATTAGCTCTATTAATTAAAGACAACAATTTATTGCAAGAATTTTTAAAACTATGACTCATGTTTTTGATACTGAAAGAAAACTTATTTTCGATTTCTTACTGTTAAGTTTATTGATACAAATATTATTGCAAAAAGAAAACAAAAATACAAGAAATTACAATTCTAATCAACTGTAGCTTTCAATAACAAACTCCAAACATTAAAAAAACGCCGACAAACAACAAATAAATTATTAAATATCTTTAGTGAGTTCATTGGTGCACTCTATATAAATCTATTCACAGTGTACACAATAAGAGTTCATAGCAACATAATTTTGATTATAAAATATGTATAAGTCAGTGTGTCAGTTACCTCTTTTCTCTTCTATAATTAGCGGGCGAAGAAGAGTGGTAAGATTAGATGGAGAAAGCATATASTCCACTCATTTGAGGCCAATATGTTTTCCATGACAGTTTTYTTCGCWGTTWATTTTCTSTTWCTTGAAAMGYATGCCATTCTGGCGAGGTTAGAGGTTGGTGRMTCCATAAAATCATCATTYAAAAAGGAASAAGGTAGGAATCAGAAAACAACTTWCTTTTTATTYTAGAAAGTCGAGAAGTACATCAAGGGGAAGTGCTTCATTTTTAGTTATATAAAATAAAATTAAAGAAAAGTTTCTCTAAGAAATTGTGAAATAAGATAGTTAAAATTTTTTTTAGAGTCAAGAAAGTGTTTTGAGATGTCATAAACATTTATTCAATATTTTTTTGGAGTTTTCAGACTAAAATGAGGCGCGGCCTTTCCAAAACAACTGCTTCTAATGTTCTATATGCACTCTAAATTAATCGGAGTGATGTCTTTCAAGTTATTCTAAGATCTTTCAACATTTGACATATAAAGTACTTGAAAGAGTTGAATTTTCTATAGCAAAGTTCATGTGAGAAAGTACCATCTGTTATTCTTTAAATACCAGGAAAAGCTCTTACTGGCTGGTTAATTTCGTCCCACAACGTCAATAGCCCTGCAGAATGTACTTTGGAGTGTATGACTACTGGAGCACTGTGTAAATCTTTCAATTACAAACCCAATTCAGTTCCTAACAAACATGTCTGCCAACTAAACTCACGAACTCGTTTACAAAAGCCAAGCAATTACGTGATTGATGGTGGTTTCGTCCATTACTACAATTCCTACTTCGAGGTAATACGTTTTTAAAATACAGTCGCTCGGAGTAAATAAAGAGAGATATTTCAAGCGGCAAGTCTACATGAAAATCATACTCAGCTATATATCTTTTCATTCCATCACTAACTATCCAACGATGTCAGTGTAGTAGCTGCAGTATTAGCCTCCTCCGCACTCCCTCCCCAGGCATCACAAAGAATCACGGGCTTCCTGTCTTTTTTGGGAGTCAAAAGGGAGAACGGGGGCGAGTGAGGGGAGGTGTGATTCCTGCCGAATTACGACATGCTAATGGACTTCTGCGCAAGTATCTTCGGGCATACAAATCCATTACGTGGGGGAAGAGAGGGGACGGGCAGTAAGGGCTTTTGATAACAAAAATAAATTTTGCAGGGACCTAGTTGGTACGTTAGTACCGAGTATTTTTTATAATGCATCGAAGCGATTCAACAGGAATTATTCTTTGATGTTTCCGAGGCACTCTTTGTAGATCATCCTTAATACCGTTTAGATTTACATGTCTCTGTAAAAGTGGAGTTCATGATTATCAATTTTAAGAAGAATTTTCGAACAGAATTGAAGAGGTCGAAGTCATGAGCAAGTTCAGTGCTCGATAGAATGCCAGGAACGTAACGGCGATGTCTAAAACTTCATTGTCTAAAACTCCCAAAATAAGCTCAAAATATCCAAATAGACACAAAAGAAGAATGCAGAAATTTGCAATAATATCAAAGAACTATATTTGAACGTTTATTGAGTTCAAAGGAGTGAAATTCGAACTTTGCTTTGCCGTTGACTTCGCTTGTGATTCTAAAATCGCCACGTTCTAATAACTAGGTTTGCAAAGGAATCATAAGTATGATATATGCAAAGTATGATATATGATATTTATGACATTTTTGTTGTCTTTACGTCTTTAACAACTGAACAACATTGTTACTATAGGATATATCGACTGTATTCGTTTTCTCTTTCCATGCATTAGAACATCAAGACCTGCCTGGATATCCTCCGAATGGGCATYACAAAAAGTGGCATATACAGGTTCCATATTGGGGATGTTTTGGCAACTGTCTATTGTGATTTAGATACCGAAGCGARTTCTGCCTGGACATTGATAATGTCGTATTCATTTAAAAACCGGAATCTTGACCACTTCTGCAGGTCACCAATGTCTATCAGCAAACCCTATGATAAATATAACCCCAACTGGGATGCTTACCGAATGGCTTTGACTGACATGCAGGAACTCGCCAAGGTTTCCACATATGTGAGAATAACAACAGGGTTTAACAAGTATGGTATTGACTACAGAGATTATATTCGCGCCACAATAGCCAATCTTGACGTCTTAACCTTTAATGGCCATGGCGATTGTCRTAAAGTTGATTACATCAATATCCGAGGTATTTCTGSTAGWAGTACCCTTACAAGGTTTTGGCAGGGAGCAGACTATATGATCCACATAGATTCAAGYKYTTTRCCAGGAAATTGCCAATTTGATGCAAGCAGCGGGTCAGTTCCCAATAACGATGACTTTGGGAATTATTGCTCCGGTTATTACAACACCGCTTTCCGAGGATGTGAAAATGAAGACAGCACCACTAACTTCTGGTTTGGTGGCTACCTCTAAAAGAGCATGCCTGTAGAGACACTTCTTTTTATATGGTTTGAAAAATTGAAATTCCACATAATTTCAAAAGCTGAATTCTTTCACGGTTCCGTTGCCACTGTTTAACACTACAGCACGAAACAAGAAGAATATCTGTGGTTGACTTTGCCAACAAGTTATTGCCACACTAAATACAAGTTTAAACTATCAATAGCTGACAATTAAGTACTTTACAAAAAACCTTCCTTTCTTTTAGCAGCCATATATGGTATTTTTACCTTATTTGGAAATAAGATTCAGTTAAATTCGATTTATAAAGCTTTGAATCGTCTGGAACTTGCATGGTACATATTATAGCGAAAACACTTTTCAACATTTGGACTTCTTTTTGTTTTCTTTTGTGTTGTTTTGTTTGTTTGTTGTTGCTGTTGTTGTTGTTGTTGTTTTTTGTTGTTGTTGCTTTGTTTTGTTTTGTTTTTCATGTATGGTATAGCGATACTCAAGGTTTATCAACAAATTCATTATTATGTTAATGTGCCAATGATCAGAATGCTTTTTCAAAAGTCGCTTTGTTCTAACAGCCAATCGTCTGCTGATTGGCACATGAATAACAAAGGCTTACGTCACATTGAGTATCGCAATACATTGGGTAAAGAAATCTTAAAAATGCACAGCAATCCCACACTAACGACAACAATTCATTGAGGGATATGTATTCTTTCAAAATTGATTGCACGATACGAAACTTCTATATAAAACGCCACTCCGCAGAACAGACCAAAAACAAATGGCACCGGTCTGAGAATATGTTGTCAATCGCTAGATATAGTGCTGGGTATAGTCTCCTTACAAAACTACGCATTTTGGGGTCTAAATGCATGGGATCTAGTCCACGAAAATCATGAAAATAAAGTATTTTCGATAGAAAAATTTACGAAAATGCATTGACTGTATTCGAGCAAATTTTGCAAAATATATCGATATATGAAATATATGAAATAAAGCACCGCGTGATTTAGAAGTCTTTGTGTAGTTTGCTTAGATCTCTGTACTCTTTACCAATTGCAAAAACGCCAACTGAGTACAGCGTAACAGCGTAACAGCGTAACAGCGGGAGCGCTTACAATCATTCGCAGCACAATATTATTATCTCTATTAATTCAAGACACAAATTTTTGCCAATAATTTAATCATGCCTCACGTTTTTGGAACTAAATGTAAACTTAGTTTAAACTATGTATCAATGTTAAGTTTATTGATACAAAAGTTTTATAAAGAAAAAAAAAGAAATTACGTTAATTCTCCTCAACTGTACCCTTCAACAACAAGCTCCAAACTTAAAGTGCTACTTGCATGAAAATGGCCTTATTTCAAAACTTCAAGCAATACAAATATATKACTCATTGATATCTATTAAAAACAATTGCGGAAAAATATTTGTTATGGAATTATCCCACATCAGATAAATTTTGATTCAAAAGATGAAAGAACAAAAGGATGGAGTAAATGACGTCATCTACTCCGACATTTTTTGTCCAAATTATCAAGGATTTGTATCAATATCTTCTTGAAATCTGTTGCTTCATGATTATTAGACCCATATGGTCCAAGTCTTTTCTAATGATTCGAAATTTTCGTCCAAGTAGCCCTTTAAAAAAAACGCTGACAAACACCTAATAAATTATTAACTATCATTAAAGAACCTAATTTGATCAAGGTTTATTCCCTTTATCTTTAAATATCAATTCAAATTTATCCATCGGTATTTTTTTATATTTATTCGTGAAATTTTGTTGGTGCAGTTTCAAGCAAAATCACGTTTCAAATAAATGAGTTCTCGCATTCCTAGCTTTTATACAAATCGATTCACATATTGTACACAATAGAGTCCATAGCAACGCACTATTGATTATAAATTATACAATTTTTGATATACAACGCGCGCTCTGATTGGCTGACGACCGTGTTTATATCAGAGGACAGAGACACGGCTTACCTGCAAAATTTTCTTTTCGCTCAAAACATTTTATAAAAGAAATATAAAACGACCGCTTGTGTCTCTGTCTTCTGATATAAACACGGTGGGAGTTGAAAAATACTCGAGAATCAAGAGAAACACTCGCTTCGCTCGTGTTCCTAAGCTTGCTTCTCTTGTGTTTTTCGAACTCCCACCGTGTTTATATCAGAAGACAGAGACACACGCGCCGTTTTATATTTCTTAAATATAAATCATTAAAGTTATTCATAAAGTCATTGCGTCATAAAGTCATTGCGTCATAAAGCCATTGCGTCAATTACCTCTATAATTAGATCAATATCTCAGCAGCTAAGAAGAGTGGTAATATTAGATGGAGAAGCCATATACTCCACTCATTTGAGGCCAATATGTTTTCCATGACAGTTTTTTTCGCAGTTTATTTTCTCTTACTTGAAACGCATGCCATTCTGGCGAGGTTAGAGGTTGGTGACTCCATAAAATCATCATTTAAAAAGGAAGAAGGTAGGAATCAAAAACTTCTTTTTCTTATTTTAGAAAGTCCAGAAGTATATCGAGGGGAATTGCTTTCAATTTTAGGTATTTTAAATGAAATTAAAGAAAAGTTTTCTCTAAGAAATTGTGAGATCAGATAGTATATATATTTTTTGAGAGTCAAGAAGATGTCTAGAGATGTCATGAACATTTATTCAAAACTTCTTTGCAAAATTTTCAGACAAAAATAATGCGACCTTTTCAAAATAACTTACTGCTTCTAAAGTTTCTATATTTTCTCTAAACTAATCGGAGAAATTTATTTTAAGCTATTCTAAGATCTTTCAAAATTTCGTTATATCAAGTAGTTAAAAGGGTTGAACAAACTTGAAATTTCTTTAGCCAAGTTCATGTGTTCAAGTAACACCTGTTATTCTTTAAATCAACCAGGAAAAGCTCTTACTGGCTGGTTAATTTCGTCCCACAACGTCAATAGCCCTGCAGAATGTACTTTGGAGTGTATGACTACTGGACCACTGTGTAAATCTTTCAATTACAAACCCAATTCAGGTCCTAACAAACATGTCTGCCAACTAAACTCACGAACTCGTTTACAAAAGCCAAGCAATTACGTGATTGATGSTGGTTTCGTCCATTACTACAATTCCTACTTCGAGGTAAGACGTTTTTAAAATACAGTATTCGACAGCTAAAGTGCTTTTAMACTATGCAAATTTCTGAGCAACTCTTCTCGCCATTACGATACAATTTTCTGTAGAGTTGCATTGTGAATCAGGGATTGTCCCACAACGTTTTTTCTTGCTCGCAACGTTGCATGAAGGTCGTTTTTGCAACGCATTGTAGATGTTTACTTCCGAGTGACGACGAAATTTCCCGAACCGAACTTTATTGTGGAAAGTTGCCGAATTCGCCTATAAGTAAAGCGAGAGAGACTGTTGGATCTTTCTTGTCATTGATATTAATAAGCGCAGGCGCTGATCTGGTCACAGCTTTTAGTGTTTAAATTTCTTACCAAACACAAGGAAAGCGTTTGTTGATGGCTCATTTGTAACATGTACGACATGAGAACTAGAGAAGAAAGCTTGCATATGATGAAAAAATAATGAAAACTGAGTTAGTTTGCGTGAAGGTCAAATGTAATGAATATTAATAAGTGATAAGTTTTAAAAGTGAATTGTTCTCGCCTTTCCCATCGAAAAATACGGAAAGTAAAGTTCTTTGGGAAATTTCCTCGTCGCTCCTAGTTAATAGAAAGAGAGACTCAGCTGTATATCCAACTATGTGTAGTACTTGCAGTACATCCATTCTGCGCCGGGGGGACTCCCTAATAAAAAAAGGGCGGGGGTCCTCGTCGTCCCTTTTACGGTTTTAAATCAGTGCTTTGATCGCGCTTAGGATGAAAATGACGAGAATTCCCACCAGCTGAGGTTTGTGGTCCCTTTTAGGGTATACGACGACCATAAGCCGTCATTATAAGATCATTAAACTCATCAACATTAGATGAGCTTGCTTGGTTGAMAAATTTGCGTTGGTTGGAATGGTATCGGTATCCATGGCAACCCTGTCWTCACCAACCAAGCACCTGTCACACTAACGCTTGTCAGTGGAGTACTTACCTGAACCAAAGAAGGAGTGGACGGGAGGGAACAAGTTTGCATTCAGCGTACAGTTAGCGTTTGCGTTATTGATTGTTCCTTTTTAAGAGGTCAAATTTCAGCACTGCCACGACCATCATCTTATACAAATACAGGTCTAGATTTCACTAGCACATAAGCATAGCATAAGCACAAGCATGAGAATCATATGCGTCAGTGAGAACGGGCTCGACATAAGCATAAGACATTGAGAATGCGCATGAGAGTATTATTTCGGTACCAGGCTATGCTTATGCCTATGCAGTCCCGTTCTCACTGAACATAAGCATGAGATAAGCATGAGATAAGCACAAGAAGATCAAGCCTTGCTCGTTTTTCTTGTGCTCATGCTTATGCTTATTTTGAGCCCGTTCTCACTGGCGCATATGACTCTCGTGCTTCGTGCTTATGCCTATGCTTATGCGCTAGTGAAAGCCACGCTTTATAGGGGTAAATTTCAGAATTTATTCGGGATATACACCTAAATCTACAGTCAATCCTTGACGTTGTTCAATTGTAAAGAGAGARGACAACAAGAAAGTCATTTGCATACAAAGATTTTGAAAAATTCAGGAAGAATTGTTATTGGAAACTTAAGATAAATAGCAATTGAATGTTATTGACATTGTAAAGAAGTTTTGGAACTCTATGATGAATAGTTTTGCAAAGGAATTAAAATAATAATATATGCAAATGACTTTGTTGATTTTATGTCTTTACCAGTGAATAACGATGATAGATTGACTTTATTCGTTTTCTTTTCCATGCATTAGAACATCAAGACCTGCCTGGATATCCTCCGAATGGGTATCACAAAAAGTGGCATATACAGGTTCCATATTGGGGATGTTTTGACAAAGGTCTATTGTGATTTAGATACCGAAGCGAATTCTGCCTGGACATTGATAATGTCGTATTCATTTAAAAACAGGAATCTTGACCACTTCTGCAGGTCACCAATGTCCATCAGCAAACCCTATGATAAATATAACCCCAACTGGGATGCTTACCGTCTGTCTCTGACTGTCATGCGGGAACTCGCCAAGCTTTCCACATATGTGAGAATCACAGCAGGGTTTAAMAAGTATGGTATTGACTACAGAGATTATATTCGCGCCACAATAGCCAATCTTGATGTCTTAACCATTGATAGCAATGGAGTTTGTCATAAAGTTGATTACATCAATATCCGAGGTATTTCTGGTAGAAGTATCCTTACAAGTTTTTGGCAGGGAGCAACCTATATGATCCACATAGATTCAAGTTTTTTACCAGGAAATTGCCAATTTGA